GGGAAATTTTTGAATTTTTAACCCCTCTGAAACGCTATTTCCAGCATTTTGAGACCTAAATTTTGACTGGACGGCATTATCGGTTGTGGATTGGACCATTTTTAAATCAGCCTACGCTCTTATGATCTCATGGATTACGCTTTACGTCGCATAAAAGTAACTAATTACGCTTTACGGAGAATAAAAACGACCAATTACGAGTTACGGCTAATGTACCGATTACGAATTACGATGATTTTGGGCGGCCGCCTACGGATTACGAAGGCTAAAAAGGCCTGATTACGCCTTACGAAAAAGGGCTTGCAGGCCCTCAGTAATGAAACGTCCCGCGCCTCCTTTTCTACCACCAATCTAGGAAAAGAACCAGACGCCTGGGAGTTTGGCGGGAAAATGCTTGTGGTGGGGCACTTATGGGGTTTTCCGATATACGTAATACACCCAAGTCATACTTAAAATTAACAGCGTTATAGTTTCCCTTTGATAATTTGCTATGGGTAGCATACAAATAAACTTATTTAGAACGCAGATGGCCTTAGTTTACTCACTCAGATTCAGTTCAACAAAATTCCGTAACCCCTAACAGACCCATCCTCCTTGTTGTTCGTGCTTGTACTTATCCTTTCTAGAAGTCTCTAGTATACAATGTACAATCTCGTAATTAGTCTCAAAACGCTCAATACGTCGCTCAACTTCCCTCTTCGCGCCACGTTGATGCTGCTAGGAGCTAAATATTTGGCACAAAAGTGACCTATGATATCTCTCTCTAAAAACTCCTTAGGCGTAACGTTCCGTGAAGAGGACACAAGTATAAACTGAAAGTGCCGCTAGCAAAGAATAGAGCTAGAAGTCAGTCTTTTAGCGTCAGAACGGTCAAGGACTGGAACTCTTTACCTGAATCAGTAGTGGAGGCGAAATCAGTAAATGAATTCAAAAATAGACTGGATAAGACCTGGGCAAACATTATGCACGTCTCAATCGAAGGATAGAGAGAAGATCGGGACAACACAGGCTTGAGCCTTTCCTACCCGAAGACGGTATGCAGGTCTTTCAAGCCAAGGAAATTATTCAAAATGCTCTTACCTGGAAGTCACCCGGCACACAACCGACTGTAGATCGCTTTGCAAGTCAAATTCGATCTCCTTTGAAGGAATTCAAATGCGATTCGTTCGAAGGAGAAATATAATTTTCAGATGACTCGGTGCCACTCTCTCAGCGTGCTGTGTGGTACCATGGAGTCAAATGGTGGTACTCCTCTCTCTTCAAGCACAGGAAGTCGTGGTCAAATGACCCGGAAGTAGTGTATGAAAAACAATCACGCCACACAACAACAAAGTGTTACTTAGTAATTTTTAATGCCGATCAGACTATATCGTGAAATGTAAGCTTTTAAACCGCCTTAATAACGTGTTAAACCATGCTGATCAGATTTATATAATATATGTCACCATGGTGCACGCATGACTCCATGGTGCACGGAAGTGAAAGTTTGGAGTTCGCGCGCAATTTTGACCTTTGACCTAAGGGGAAGTCCCCCCGGTGACATCATCGCTCTGATTGGTCCGGGATTCCCGCCAGTTCCACGTCTCGCCGGCCGCGTCACGTCACCGCTCAGAACGGGAGTTTCGGTCTCACTACTCTCAGGTCCCGACCTGTTTTTGTCGACCTGAAAACAGTCTCGGCCGCACCTTGGATTTTCACAAGACGTCATGAGCTGCGTGTACGCCACACTGTGCGTGTAAAACGTCTTCATTGAAGTCCTGTGGGCTCGAGGATAGTGTGAAATCGAGCTTGGGGCTTCAAGATCGAGACCTGAAGTTGAGGTTCGCCCGGCGCCGCGGGCTGGCGATCGAGACGTGTGGCAGGTTCTGGGTAAGTCTGGGCACGTCTCTTCCAAAGTAGAAGTGTAGCACCATCTTGACCAGCCTGTACCGCCCACAACTTTGCTACAGAATAGCGTTTGTTCACAAATATCAGCTGTAACGTTACAAGTTCATCTGTTTACTTCAGTGCTTGTTATGCATAATTATGGCAGATAATTTGTTGTTGTTTTTGTAACGTACAGCTTGGTCGCCCACCTTGACACATATGCATGACACAGTTTCGTCCAAGATCAAGATATGCTTCCTGTTGCAGAATCGAAAACGTTAAAACCTATATAATTTTGTTGAGCACTGTCTTTGGTACCAAAAGGGGAGACGGTTTTTAGGCGAATGTAATGTGAAGGGGAGGGGTGCTAGTGGCTCGCTATGGAAAAATGTTAACCGCCGAAATGAGTCCTTAGCATGGTTCACAGAATTTATCATAGCGCAGTCACAATCGGGAAAGCCAGGCTAAAATATATGTCGTTGTAATCCTTACAAGTCAGGGAACCTCGGGAAGTTCACTTGAAGATCACACTTGTACAAAAAAACGAGCTTTGTAGCGTCAAAGTTGACTCATTTCCATTTTTCGGCGAGGTTTCCGCCATTGGATTTCCGTCAAAATACGCACCCTATGGGGGTTTCGCGGTATCTGGTTGCATCTGTTTCCGGGTCACGTCCACCCGGCGAAGGGCCGCTGCCAAGCCAAGGGCAGTGTACTGCGCAATACTCACCCTTTCGGGAAAGAATGCTCAAGAATTATATATATGGCTCTTTTGCTTCAACTGAACGAGCCACTGACATGTATGCACATGTGTAAAAACGAGTACGCTAGCAATCATTCGATAGCCGATACATTTTGCCTGTATCGTTGCAAACACGTCGACGACAACACGACTTTCACCTGAATCACATGCGCCCCGAAAATTACCTAATTTTTACCAAAATTGTTGTAAGACAACATGAAGACAGTCCGACTTTAAAAATCTCAATCGTTGCAAAATCGTCTCCCGTGTACATAATTGCAATCATACAGGTAAAAGTCAGGCTTCTTCGGAGTGCATAGAAGTGTATAAATATTGTCGCCCAGCCCATATAGGCTGATAGGACACCATGCATGAGTACGTGGGATACAGAAATCACATGATTTAAACATAAGTATAAAATAATCATCAACTAGAAAGGTGACCTTTGCAAAGCCGTTACGGTTTCACAACTTCTTCCAAAAAATCCTTCACATTTGGCGAGTACTCTTTCTCGCAAAGGCGATTAAGGTCTGCCCTCCGCGTGTATCATATAAATGATACACGCAAAAGTCGGGTCGTCTTCGAAGTACCTTATGTATCATTTCAATGATACGTGTAACTACCTAGGTTTTCCAAATTCGTACTGACTTCCAATATAGTAACCCCACCATCATATCTACGCATGTGTGAGACGGGTACACTGTACCAGGAATCATTTAAATAGCTAATAGAAGAGTTACCACTTGGCTCTTAAAAAGCTGCGCCAATAAGGTTTCGCAACTTCTTCCCAAAAATTCCAATTACGCTTTGGCGAGAATATTAGGGTCTGCCCTCCGTGTCTATCATATAAATGATACACGTAAACGTCGGGTCGTCCTCGGAGTGTTTATATGATAGACACGGAGGGCAGACCATAATCGCCTTTGCGAGAAAGAGTACTCGCTAAAGGGTGAAGGGATTTTTTTATCGTCTCACACATGCGTAGATATGATAGTGGGGTTACTATATTGGAAGTCAGTCCGACTTTGTAAAACCTAGGTAGTTACACGTATCATTGAAATGATACATAAGGTACTTCGAAGACGACCCGACTTTTGCGTGTATCATTTATATGATAGACACGGAGGGCAGACCATAATCGCCTTTGCGAGAAAGAGTACTCGCCAAAGGTGAAGGGATTTTTTGGTCGTCCCGCACATGCGTAGATATGATAGTGGGGTTACTATATTGGAAGTCAGTCCGACTTTGGAAAACCTAGGTAGCTACACGTATCATTGAAATGATACATAAGGTACTTCGAGGACGACCCGACTTTTACGTGTATAATTTATATGATAGACACGGAGGGCAGACCATAATCGCCTTTGCGAGAAAGAGTACTCGCCAAAGGGTGAAGGGATTTTTTTTATCGTCTCACACATGCGTAGATATGATAGTGGGGTTACTATATTGGAAGTCAGTCCGAATTTGGAAAACCTAGGTAGCTACACGTATCATTGAAATGATACATAAGGTACTTCGAAGACGACCCGACTTTTACGTGTATCATTTATATGATAGACACGGAGGGCAGACCATAATCGCCTTTGCGAGAAAGAGTACTCGCCAAAGGGTGAAGGGATTTTTTTTATCGTCTCACACATGCGTAGATATGATAGTGGGGTTACTATATTGGAAGTCAGTCCGACTTTGGAAAACCTAGGTAGTTACACGTATCATTGAAATGATACAAAAAGCACTCCGAGGACGACTCGACGTTTACGTGTATCATTTATATGATAGACACGGAGGGCAGACCCTAATATTCTCGCCAAAGCGTAATTGGATTTTTGGGAAGAACTTGCGAAACCTTATTGGCGCGGCTTTTTAAGAGCCAAGTGGTAACTCTTCTATTAGCTATTTAAATGATTGCTGGTACAGTGTACCCGTCTCAGACATGCGTAGATATGATAGTGGGGTTACTATATTGGAAGTCAGTCCGACTTTGTAAAACCTAGGTAGTTACACGTATCATTGAAATGATACATAAGGTACTTCGAAGACGACCCGACTTTTGCGTGTATCATTTATATGATAGACACGGAGGGCAGACCATAATCGCCTTTGCGAGAAAGAGTACTCGCCAAAGGGTGAAGGGATTTTTTTATCGTCTCACACATGCGTAGATATGATAGTGGGGTTACTATATTGGAAGTCAGTCCGAATTTGGAAAACCTAGGTAGCTACACGTATCATTGAAATGATACATAAAGCACTCCGAGGACGACCCGACGTTTACGTGTATCATTTATATGATAGACACAGAGGGCAGACCACTTTGCGAGAAAGAGTACTCGCCAAAGGTGAAGGGATTTTTTTATCGTCTCACACATGCGTAGATATGATAGATCATGATAGTGGGTTACTATATTGGAAGTCAGTCCGACTTTGGAAAACCTAGGTAGTTACACGTATCATTGAAATGATACATAAGGTACTTCGAAGACGACCCGACTTTTGCGTGTATCATTTATATGATAGACACGGAGGGCAGACCATAATCGCCTTTGCGAGAAAGAGTACTCGCCAAAGGGTGAAGGGATTTTTTTATCGTCTCACACATGCGTAGATATGATAGTGGGGTTACTATATTGGAAGTCAGTCCGACTTTGGAAAACCTAGGTAGTTACACGTATCATTGAAATGATACAAAAAGCACTCCGAGGACGACCCGACGTTTACGTGTATCATTTATATGATAGACACGGAGGGCAGACCCTAATATTCTCGCCAAAGCGTAATTGGATTTTTGGGAAGAAGTTGCGAAACCTTATTGGCGCGGCTTTTTAAGAGCCAAGTGGTAACTCTTCTATTAGCTATTTAAATGATTGCTGGTACAGTGTAACCGTCTCACACATGCGTAGATATGATAGTGGGGTTACTATATTGGAAGTCAGTCCGACTTTGGAAAACCTAGGTAGTTACACGTATCATTGAAATGATACAAAAAGCACTCCGAGGACGACCCGACGTTTACGTGTATCATTTATATGATAGACACGGAGGGCAGACCCTAATATTCTCGCCAAAGCGTAATTGGATTTTTGGGAAGAAGTTGCGAAACCTTATTGGCGCGGCTTTTTAAAGAGCCAAGTGGTAACTCTTCTATTAGCTATTTAAATGATTGATGGTTCAGTGTACCCGTCTCACACATGCGTGGATATGATAGTGGGGTTATTGGAAGTCAGTCCGACTTTGGAAAACCTAGGTAGTTACACGTATCATTGAAATGATACAAAAAGCACTCCGAGGACGACCCGACGTTTACGTGTATCATTTATATGATAGACACGGAGAGCAGACCCTAATATTCTCGCAAAGCGTAATTGGATTTTTGGGAAGAAGTTGCGAAACCTTATTGGCGCGGCTTTTTAAGAGCCAAGTGGTAACTCTTCTATTAGCTATTTAAATGATTGCTGGTACAGTGTACCCGTCTCACACATGCGTAGATATGATAGTGGGGTTACTATATTGGAAGTCAGTCCGACTTTGGAAAACCTAGGTAGTTACACGTATCATTGAAATGATACATAAGGTACTTCGAAGACGACCCGACTTTTACGTGTATCATTTATATGATAGACACGGAGGGCAGACCATAATCGCCTTTGCGAGAAAGAATACTCGCCAAAGGGTGAAGGGATTTTTTTAATCGTCTCACACATGCGTAGATATGATAGTGGGGTTACTATACTGGAAGTCAGTCCGACTTTGGAAAACCTAGGTAGTTACACGTATCATTGAAATGATACAAAAAGCACTCCGAGGACGACCCGACGTTTACGTGTATCATTTATATGATAGACACGGAGGGCAGACCCTAATATACTCGCCAAAGCGTAATTGGATTTTTGGGAAGAAGTTGCGAAACCTTATATTTGCGGCTTTTTAAGAGCTTTTTTTCATGAAATTTCACTCCGCAACGTTTCCTTCGCTCTTCGGCGTGTAATATACTAGTAACCGAACCTCGTAAGCCGTGACCCGGAAGTAGATGGGATTAGCGGTATCACGGAAACCCCCATACAGTTCGAAAACCTACGCCAAAATGAGTTCTTAGCTAGCGAATAAAGGTCAACTTTGACGCTACAAAGCTCGTTTTTGTGTACAAGTGTGATCTTCAAGTGAACTTCCCAAGGTTCCCTGACTTGTAAGGATTACAACGACATATATTTTAGCCTGGCTTTCCCGATTCTGACTGCGCTATGATAAATTCTTTGAACCATGCTAAGGACTCATTTCGGCGGTTAACAAAAATGTTCCCCTCGCCATGATTTCTTTACATTTTTGGCGGAAGTTGAGATCGCTTGGGGAGGGGCAGGAGCGGACCGTCTTTGTTTCACTTCCGTTTTCACCTTCGCCAAGCAGGTGACGTTTTGTGTGAACTTCATTTCCATGTCAGATGCCCCAAGAATCTTGCACAAATTGTCAGGTTGTTTTTCTGTCTCCTTGTTGGTTTCCCATATTTGCATGCCAAAGTGTCAGTCCCAGGGGATGATCATGGGGGGTGTCAGGATGTGTGTGTGTGTGTGCGTGTGTGTTTCTGTGTGTGCACATGTGAGGGCCTGCATGGGGGGATCCCGACAACGCTCCACGCTGAATTCGGAAACCTCTCGATTATGCTTTATGATAAATTCCAAGTGGTACAGCGCATTACGTAGAATTAAAACGGCAAATTCGCTGTACGCAAAAATTATGCGCCAATTACGCTCTACATTGAATTAGAGCGGTCTGTCTACGCTCTACGTAGAATTAAAACAGCTGATTACGCTCTACGGAAAAGGGCATGCGGGCCCCCATATGTGTGTATGTGTGAGTTTGTGTGTATGACTATGACCCCTTCCATTTTGAAGAATCGATCAGCCTTGTGGGTAATGTTGACCCTTGAACTGTAAATAATGGAAATCCCCAGTCAGTTCAAACAAAAGTCCTGCGTTTGAGTTTCAATGTTTTTGACTGAATAGGAAGTCTGCCATGTCAGGACGCTATTCCGCTACAATATATAATGTCACGCAGTCTCACATTGTTTACTTTTTGATTTAATCTAGTTTCAGATGACTCATTTTAGGTAATGCTATTAATGTTATGTCTTACAGCGTACAAAGTCTTGTTAGTACAGTGGAACAGTCCAAGCAGAACCAGCTCAGACTGGTTTCAGAAGTGAACCTTCAGAAATACGATACTGCTGAATGTACCTGCAAGGTTGTGTTAACCTTGACCTTTGTTAACAGGGCTTGAAATACATTGTACTACCTGCGTATACAGATTGGTGCAGGTATGCAGGTGTAAGTGATTTCAAGCCTTGCATAAGGTTGCTAAAGTGATGAATACATGGCCAGTACAGGTAAAATTGGAACGCTGCAGGTATGCAGCAAAAGTACTTCGAGCCCTGAAATAAGATGTCTGACATGCAGTCTAGGTTACAGAAGTCCTTGGTTGTTATTATACAGATCTGTTTGATTGGTGTACTTAAATTATAGTTATAGCACTAGGGAGTTAATGGTGTCCCCACAAATGTGCCCTTCAACTACAGGTACTGATTACAGTAGAGATTTCATTAGGATAAACTTTTTGACCCAGTGAAAAATTTAGTACATGTATGACCTGTACCTGGGACGAGAGCCACACACATGAAACCATTAGCGCAAACCTATTGTGTAAATAGAAACCAAGTTGAAAGTGTTCAGTCCAAAACAGGAAGTGACTCATTCTTTGCATTGCATTGTTGTTTGGTTTCTATTGACCTGGTTTCTAGTCCTCACCAAAGTGCAGACAAGGTTAGTTTTATATTTTACTGATCAGTTAGCCTGGGTGCCAGACTATTGCCAGGGCCATTATGCAGGCTGGCTCCTGGCTCCAGGGCCAACATTAGCCATGGGGTTGCGAATTGTATCTTCTATGGCCCGGGATCTTCTCTGGTATACTTAATCCCTTTATTTCAGCCAATTTCTACCACTAGTATTTTTCCAGCGATCCGCGGTGCCTGGTAGAGGCTAAGCCAACATACCCCCAAGGAAATTTTACCACAGTTATTGTGTCATAAGGCATTCTGTCACTGTTCTCTGGTTCCACCCTCTTCAGCTGTCTTCAACTAACTTCTGACTCAATGAGAAATCAGAGGTTTCTGACTTCCGGGAGGTGTTCCTAACACAATCCTCAAGCTTCCTGAATTCCTTCTCCTCCTTGCCAGAGCAGATTTCTGGTGTCTGACCTTTTGACCTCCTGACATTCTGCATGTCAATATTCCTCCCACTTACTGTCAACCTACTCTGTTTAAACCCTCAGCTCAGCCACCCAAAACAGTACTCGGTATATCGAGGGAGGAACTACCCTTACTGACTTTTGAGACACAAGGTAGCCTGGGTCCCAGACTTTTCTCAGGGATATATTGAGTTGTATAAATTTTAGGTACTGTACAGGTACACACTGTCTGGTACACAGATTTAGGTACACGTCTGGACCTGAAACTGTACCTGAATGATTCAACAAATTACCATGTTTTTCTAAATGACAGGACCCATGGTCCAGATATTTACACATTTTAGGTCACAAAGAGGATTTAATTAGTGTGACAGTACGGTACTGAGGGATTAGGTACTTTGGACCTGTACCTAATCAATTTTTCCGGCACAGAACCAGTACACATGTACTGGTACACAGCTCTACTCAGGGCTAATAGTAATACGTATGCCAGCTTGGTCAGGGTCTAACTGACCGAGGGGGTCTCTGGTAAAGTTTCCTTGGGGATGTGTTTGCTGAGCTAGTCGGTATACTGGCCCTAGCCTCTAGCAGGCTTCGGGAAGTGGCTGGAAACAGTAGAAATTGGCCAAATAGACAGATGATATTCGACTATGCCAGGGGAGTGACAAACTGTTCTCTTAGCGCAGACCATGGAGTTAAATGATACACAGACCAACTCCCCTGGCATATCACCTGGCTTGCCTGCTCTGTTTGTCTACTCTTTCTAGCCACTTCCCAGAGCCTGATAGAGGCTATACTGGCCCTGGCAACAGTCTTGCAACCAGGCTAGACATACAGGGCAGACAGCGGTCTACCATGGTTGGCAGGAGGTCTGGTACATTGCAAGTTAGCAGATACATGTTGACCTTTGTCCTCAGATGAGATCAAAGGCCAAGATTACCATATCAATCACTAAGTCATGGTCATTTGGAATAATCTGGCTTCACTTGTCTGACATGTGCACCTAACAAAGAATAACAAGTGATTAACAACTTTGTGTGAAGTGTATAAAGCTTCACTTTCATGTAGATCGCAAACCAGGATGCTAACCTGTCATCATGACATGACATTGTATTATTGTCGCATTAAAACAAGCAATGTCATTTCTATCCTTATTTTTAACAAGGAGAGAGGGTGCACACTCCACCATCCCTACAGATGTTTCGAACCTATTTACCTGTGGATATGAGATGTAAGTATGTACGGTGTATGGGAACGGTGCACTTATTTCTGCAAATCGGACTGCTTTGATGTATATCAAGAATACATTCAGATCATATGTTACCTTGAGTTGAGGGTGGGTGTAGGATCTGAACATACATTCTTGACATTTGGGTTTTTGCCTGTGTGGAAATTGGGTCCAGGGAACACTAACAGTTGCAAGTCCCAGCAAACAGTGATATAGCCTCTACCAGGCTTTGGAAGGTGGCTGGAAAGAGTAGAAATTGGTCAAATAGAGGTAGTAATAACATGTCAGGGAGTTGAATGCTAATAGAGTACAACTGGCATATTATTTCTCTATTTACCCGGTAGCCAATTTCTGCTCTTTCTAGCCTTCTCCCAAAGCCTGGAAGAGGCAAACAGTGAATGAGTGATGGTCTGCTCAGAGGAGTGATGTAGCAGGAAGTGGTCAGAAAACCACAGAGCTTTCCAAGCAAGGGGAAAGAAGTGGGAAAGAACTGAAAACAGCAAAGACAGGAGGTGACTCAGTGTGGTCATCTCAAGTTAGGAGAAGCATATAGGAAGGAAATGTTTAGGTCATACCTGATTCACACATGGGCAAAAACCTGACGGTTTAATTGAAAACTGTCTATGCATGTGAGTGTACGAATACTGCGTGTGTCAATATGCTAGTCTTGTTCACCATAGAGTAACAGGAAATGATCGCTGGACACATGGTAATGGTAGTCAAAACATCATTTGCATAATTTACAAACTGCAATTGAATAAAACACTCTAAATATTTCTTGTAACTTGTTTTATAGCCACTGACCTGAAGATGGAGTGTCCAGACTGTGGGGAGACAGTGAGAGCCAAGCAGAAGTTTTGCCACGAGTGTGGGGCACAGCTGCAGAAGAGACAGAAGTTTCAGGACTCTGGTGATGGAGGAGGGGTCGTCGTTCCTACATCCAGTACGGCGTCTGCTGTGTTAGCAGGTGAGATTCATGTTTGCATGGTTTCTGGGATGGTGGGTCTTTTTGTGCAGGTTTTACAGGTCATATGACCTCCATATACATGTATTTATCTATCAGGTTTTGCTGATAAATATAAAATACTACACAGTCCATTCCGTATCGCCAGAGGTACCAGCCCAACTGCGGGTCGGATTCTCGAAAGCCGGAGGAAGTTCCTGTGTCGAAATTCTAACATCTGAAATATAATGATCTAACATTTATGTCGTGCAATTGTCTACCTGAAGCCTAAGTAAGGTTTATAGAAATCTGGAATACTGACTGAAAAAATGCAGTTTACTGTTTTAATCTTTCACGCTTAAGAAGTTGAAGTCCCTTTTGTTTCAAACAGCTAAACCTGCCGACGAGCCAGACAGCAGCAAAGAAGGACCGTTAGACCTTGCAGTTGGTGAGGGAAGTGTGTCCAGCCTGTCTACTGACCACAATGCAAACATGGAAATGCCCTCAAGTCACATAAGCAGCAAACCAATGGAAGCTGAACCCATGGAGACTGACGCGGTGGAAGATGAGAAGAGTTCTCCAACTGATGGCGGCTCGTCTGGGGCCTTGAAGGATGGTAAACCTCCAGAAGGAAGTACAAGCAACCTAGGTGGGGAGAGACCTTTGCCTGATGACAAACCCCCAGTTTCTTTGCCTGATGACAAACGCCCAGTTTCTCCTACCGTCCTGGCAGACACTCTGCAGAAGTCCATCCAGCTAGAGAGCCCCGTCCAAGAAAGTAAGGGACTGCAGGGGCTTGAGAAAGGAGATGTCGGCAGTCTTGGTGAAAAAGGAAGTAAGAGAAGCAGACCCACAGAGATGGGTCAGGGGGACAACCAACGGGGTGATCTAGAGGTGAGCTGTCTTCCAGAGCCACCAGGTGATGCAGCAAAAGATGAGCAAGTCACAAAGGCTGCAGCAAGCAAAGCTGACAAAGACAAGGGATTACAGAAGGACAGTGGGAAAGTAAATAAGGAAACAGTTCAACAGGATCTGGCAGAAGAAAAAGAGCCACAGTCCCAGGCACGTGTTGCATCAGAGGCACAAGAGGAGGCTAAATCAGCTGCTAAAACTCAGACCAAAGCTTTTGTACAAGAAATCATTCACCACCCTCCCAAGGATGAGCATAGCTTAGATGCTAACAAGGACACAGCCCATGGAGAAGACCAAGACAAGGAGAAGGAGACGAGTCCAGTACAGGAGACTGGTCAGCCTGGTGAAGACAACCAGGGCATGGCTTCTGCTGATACAAGCATGGAAGACTCCGTCATATTCGTGGGGGAAGGAAGAGATGAGAGAAACAGTCAGGACGGCCCCTCTACATCTGTTGATCAAGTAAGATTTATAGGTTGTCGTTCAAAATTTGAACAGATGGAAATTTGTTATTAGTGAAACAATACCTGGATGAACACAAATCTTTACAGTCTTACTATCATGTGAAGTCGGTATAATTGTCCCCTTGCATCTGTTGCAACACTGTTACATTTATGACTAATATCAGTACAAAGGGTGTTAGATGTGATCAAGATATTTCACAAAGCAAGAACATGATTATATTGTATTTATTATATCATGCAGGATGATGATGATGGATGGGAAACAGTGACAACAAGAAAGGAGAAGAAGAAGAAACATAAGAACAGAAAGAGACAAGACCCTGCAGACAAGGCAAAGAAAGAGCAGGAAAATCAGTGAGTACACAAGACAAGAAAACCTTATTATTACTGGTATACAATTTCATTCTGGTTATTCTTATTTTCATTTCTAGTTGAGGTGGAAGAGCTTACAGTACTGAGAAAAGGCAGATTGAAGCTTATACATAGTTGACCATTGTTTAATTTGTATACAGTCAAACATGTACGTACAGTGGACTACGTCTACATAAGGAACACTTGGCCATTGTCATCACTTTTTGGTGGTCTTTTCTATAATTTTTCTCATTGACATACATGTAAGCATTCAGAACCCTTTTTATAGTGACTACCTATCCACGTGGACCAGATCCTACTTTTCCCCTGCATATTTTTCTTTGCAGTTTTGACTACATGGCAACACATTCCAAGTTATGATATCTTCTGTCCAGGTCACATTACAGACCCCCACCCAACAAGACTTTACACAAACCAGATGAAGGAGGATCAACAATGACCTTGCACTTCCATGTCCTGGTCTCTCCTGACTTCAAAATGAAGCCGAAAGTGGACCAGGTCCACGTCAGAAGTGACATAGTCGGCTGGAATGACTGGGAGAGCCTTGCTGTGCTTGAAATTACACGGTAGGAACTGTCAGTTAACTTATGGAAAATACTCTTGTAGATCTGTTGTATGTAGTTAATAAGCTATTGGATATTTTACCAAAGATTACCAAATCACTTGTAGATACAGGTAAGTGTCATACCCTTTACCCTTTATTAATCATAAGTATTAGTAACAAATTACTGCTCTGTTTATTCTTAATCAAATATTCATATACTGTACTACATGTACTAGTAGTAACTTACATGTATAAATGTATATGGTGGGACCAGTCTCTCCAACTCTATCCAACTACACATGATGGAACCCAAAACTACAGTGCCAGTTATCATGGTGACAGAAGAAGAAGAAACAGTGAAAACATTATGTTTTCTCTCTTCGAATGATTCACTGATCCTTTTTTTTTCTGCAGGCACCTGAAAGATGACTACCTGGTGGCCGAAGGCAAATGCACTGTGAACCTTGCAAGGGTTAGCAACAAATACATCTCATTTAAGTATGTTGTGGTCCACCAAGACAGCAAGATGAGCTGGGAATTCATCCACTACAACATGGGTGATGTGCTGGTCAACAGATGCTTCAAGCTTTCAGCTGAGGAGTGCCAACCAGGAGGTAAGTGTTATCCAGGCTTTTTCTATCTTTTACAGTTTCTACACATTAGGTAGGCCAGCCACTGATCAATGGCACAACAATCAAAAATGCCAATGATTATAGTATATTTTCCAAATATTCCATATTATGGACAATATTGTCTTCCCAGTACTCCATATTATGGACAATATTGTCTTCCCAGTACTCCATATTATGGACAATATTGTCTTCCCAGTACTCCATATTATGGACAATATTGTCTTCCCAGTACTCCATATTATGGACATTATTGTCTTCCCAGTACTCCATATTATGGACAATATTGTCTTCCCAGTACTCCATGTTATGGACAATATTGTCTTCCCAGTACTCCATATTATGGACAATATTGTCTTCCCAGTACTCCATATTATGGACAATATTGTCTTCCCAGTACGAAAGTATCAACATTCGTAATTTCAGCACCCAAAAATCTGATGAAATAATTTCTACGAAGAAATCTTCTTGTGTGCTGATTTGTCTTGTACATTCTTCATTGCATTGATGATTCCATATGATTTAATTGTCATCATGGGACATCAAGCAGTTATACATAAATTTGGTATCTTACTACTGGTAACATTGTGTGGCATAGTGTTGTGTAATGATCAGTGAGAGCATTTGGCTCAGAATCAAGAGGTCCAGAGGACCTGACTTGCCCAATGTTGTGCTCTTGGGATTGGGAAAGGCACTTTACACTTCTTCCCTCCATGTACGATGGAGTGACGCCCACCAGGCCTTTTGGCTACTTGTTGATACTCAGTGTCCAAACATCAATGAGAACACAGATGGATTTGGTGTTGCCAACGTGCCAGGATCTGCACATTTACCACAAAGAACCATACATTTTTTGTAGTGTGGGCATGATTGATTCAAAATCATCTTGTTGTTACTGTAGCCGAAGTCCACCTGTACAACGATGTGATGCAAGTGGAGCGTGGGCTTGCGGACAAATTCAAGTCTTTCATCGGCTGGGGTAGTGTGGAGAAGAAAGTCATCCACGATCGTCGAATTGCCGCCCAGGCGTGGTTACCTCGATGGAAGGGCTTCACATGTGATCACCAAGGCGAAGAGCAACTGGCATGTGATGTCATGAAGCAAGTCGAGGATATTTGCAAGTGGTTGACGCTGAGCCCAATATCTGCTGGTGCTAACAGGCGGGTCTGGGCACTTAAGGATTTTTCCTTTGCAGAGGTAATTATATAATATGTTTGCCTTAAGTTTGTCTTTCTCTTTGTTATGCTACAGTAACCCTGTTTTTCCAGGAAGTATTTTTGTTGCATTACTAGTATGTTTACAGAAACCCTGTTTTAGATGATCAAAAACAATATGCACATGAACGTACCTAGATTTTAGGATATATAGTACTTTTAGTATTGAATGATTTATGAAGATGTAATAATTGAATTTTAAGTGTCTCATACCCCAATTCAGCCATGTAAGGCTGCAATGGTATGTTTGTGCACATGTTGCAAGTAAACCAGTCGTCATCATTATCATCATCATGATGTCTCACTTATTACATGTGTACAGGTACTGATGGATTACATCAGTCCGAAACTGGACCAGCTGGAAAAGACAAACGGGCACAAGAAGGAGAGCCCAGAGGAAGCTCAGGCACGGATTGTGTCTGCCCTCTCCCTGTGCTGGCTGGTGCACAGGTACAATCTCCACCTGACTGAGAAACAGGTACACGCCCTGTTTGAGGGGCTCCTCATCAGGCCTGATGTCAAGGACAAAAGTTGCCACGAAGTTGAGACCTTCTCTCATCACTTCCTGGATGGAAGGCTGAAGTAAGTGTGGTTAAAGATTTGCTAACTTATTCATTTTGAATGTGTCATCTTTTTCTATGTTTTGTTGATGTGATGACAGCAAATTTGGGTTTTGACAAAAGTAGTGTTAAGAAATAAAGGAACTGGTATTCTCTTAGCAATTTGTTGGTGGACCTGTATGTACTGTAACAGCATTGGATACTTTTGGAATATTTTGATGAACATAGATTTATAATAATATATATTGTATAATTTAGACTGAGCTTTTCATTATTTTTATTTACTTGAATGTAATTCTAATTACTAATAGTTATATAATTTAGTTAATTGGTATCATTAAGCATGGATGTATTTTTTATTGTCATAAACATATGTTTCATTTTGTTATAGTTGTATATCCAAAAGAAATGAAATGAAAATTCTTTAATCATTTTTCTGTAGGGAGGTCACAAATGCTGTTGTAAACCTCATCAATGCTGCTATGTCAGGAAATGCATTGACGTCAAAGTGTCTGCTGGCCTTGCCTGTACTCCACTTCTTGAGGAATGAGTCATCACCTTTCAAATCAGTAGCACCCACAACAGACTTCCAGAAAGCTTCGCAGAAATGGTGGGGACTAGAAGGACTCAAGTACAAACAATTCAAGAAGGACATCAAATATGGGTGAGAAAATTATTGTAGTGTTTGCTACAGGAACTGTTTTTCAAGTTTAATGATGTAGTGCTGTGGAATGATGCACTTTTCCTCTCCATGACAGAAAAAGGATACTTTGAGGATATAATGTTAAGTAATTTGAATTGTTGAACAATATAGTATAGGCACTAAATTTAATACAAACAATTTTGTCTCTTTAGGTCTGTAGAGAAGCCCCTTGCAGTGATGAAGGAGCTTGACCCTGCCTTGTTTGAAGCCGACAGACTGCTTGAGCGATCATGTGCAGCCATTCTCACAAACAAGGAACTGTTGGACCCCCTGACAGTAAAGACAGCCAGCCTCCCAACTCTGTGTGCAGCCATCGCTGTAAATGTTGCAACTGGGTTTTCCCTATCAGCTGAGGAAGATAGACAGGTAATACACAGTAGTCATTTTTTTCATAACATTGCAGTGTCCATAATGTTGGAATTGAAATAGTTGGGCAGCTTAGATATTAATCATTTGCTTTAGGTTAGAGATGAACTTTGCAGGATCAGGTCTGTCCATCTTTAATATATTAGAGTCAGAGAATAATCACATTTTGTCATCAAAATTACCCATCATTAACAATCCAGATTGAACATACATGTATTATTAGGAATCCTAGAAATGTCCCAAATGTAAGCCAAATTTTTCCTATCAACTTGACAAAAGTAAATATTGGTCACAGCATATTATGTACTACAATGCATTGTTACAGTAATAGACTAAGTATGTAAAATATTGTTCACCATTTCTCTTGTATTCAGGCAGTCCTGGCACTTCTGGAAACAGCAACAGCACTTGCAGCTAGTAATGTTACTGATACTGCAGACAAAGGGTGAGCTTTGCTTCATTTGTGCATGTAACGTTACATGTACATGTACATGTATCACTTGCTGAAAATCTGATTGGGATTAAATGTGATGTTTAGTTCTTCAATATACTTACATTTTACATGTTGTTGGATCTATATTCAGATTTATTTGTTTACATTGTTACATAATTATCAAAGGTACTGAATGTTTATGCCTTCAGTCCTTAAGTATCAGTGATAAAAAGTTATCTCCTTGGGCCATATTAAAAGTTATAGGTATGTTGCAAACCCACTGTATACTGTTATACATGTATAACCTTGCTACAGAATGATCTTACATTTTGCTTGCTACTTGTGTGTAGTAGTGATGCAAATTCAATGCTGGTTTCCACTGATGTAGGGATGATGCAACAAGAAAAGAGGCATGTCAGACCTTCTGCATTGCGAATGAGGTGCTGCTGAGCTGTTTGGATGCCTGCACCTACCTTGACCGTCACCCGATCCTCATCGGTGCAGTACACCTGGCTTCTGCATGTATGAGTAATCTTTGGCTATTCATGGGCTCCGCAACGGAAGCCAAGGCACAAAACATGCAGACAAGTATGGTGAAACTTGTTGAGAAGAGTGCCTCCTTCATGATGAGGTGGTTGGACAAAAATCTGAATGCGAGAATCTCCCTTTATGCGGCTGTGGAAGAGAGTAAGGTACTGTCAACGCCTTGATTTCTGTTCTAATTTGACTAATAACAGTATAAGGATTGTTTCAGGATTGTTTCATGGCAAGTGTGATAGTGTGAATGTTTCATACTTTCATAACAGTTGTTATTCTAGATATTTTATGTGCATATCTTGCTGTTTCCCACATTGTCTTGAGGTTATCATAAATATTGATTTTCTATATTTTATACAATCATATATGTACTTTCTTACATGTAGGTATGGCTGGGTGTTCTCAGTGTAGACTGGGGAAAGGAAGAGGTGAACAACTACTGGAACAAAAGGCTGCTGGGGAATTTACATCAACGGCTCCTTGCTGTGAGTATCAAGAGTTCTGTATGGCTTAGTAACTGGTAAATTTGAATGAAAAACGTCTCTGTCCAGTCTCAAATACTCAATGTAAATTGTTAGGTACATGTACTTTTGTAAGGAATCAATAATTTTAATATCAAACAGAAAAGTGCATAACATCAACCAATGTGCATAGCATCAACTAAGTGGTTGTACTCATTCTAACAGGAATAGCTTGGAATACAGCTAGCAATCACTTGACACAAAAAATGAACTTACTTAATACAGTTTTTATATTTTTTCATCAACATTAGAAAAAGTACAAGGGCACTCAAGTTACACACTTATTTTGTGACTCCACATACATGATTGTACAACATAACAATATTGGAGTCATACCTTTTCGTAAAAATTAACATTAGCACTTTCTAGTTACCTGTCTTTTTTGTTGTTCTTTTAGGTAATATCTTTCTATCATTGTATTAACCATTTACCCCAGATCTCCCCAATGGAACGTGTGGAGCTGTTCTGTTCTCTGGACACCTCCACCTTCCCCCAGCACCTGGCACAGTGCTACAGTGACGCAGCTTTTGAAGCAGTGGACAATATTGTCAAGGTACTCGTCTTTGTACCATCATGATGAGATTATTTCGAAAACAATTTTCAGATTATTAAATTAACAAATACAGTTGAATCAGATAGACAGTTGTAAAGTTACAAAGTTGTGAAGTTGTGTAGAAATATGCAGAAACTGATGATAAACAATTTACCTAAACAAGGACTTATTCATGCCTTTTACGTCACAAAAAAGCATATAATTAGTGTGGTACAATGCCGGTACTTAGGGATTAGGTATTTTGGACCTGTATCTATAGTAATCAATTTTTCTAGTTACTGTACATGTAACGTTACATGTACATGCATATAGTTTGCTTTTAGAGTATTTGGAGCTTGAATGTAATCAGTCGTTATCACGTGGTTGCTCAAAAAAAAAAATAACTTACAGTGTCTCTACAATTATATTTCAGAGTAAGAATGGTCAACAGATCGTTGCCAGCTATGCAAGGTCACCAGATGAGTCCAAATACAAGTATGGCGTCTTGTTCTCCAGAATGCTGTGCCGAACATGGCCAGCAACCAATGATGGAAGAACACCACCAACGGACTTGAGGCTCCTTCACCACATGCTCACATGGCAACCTTGTGCTGGGATCCTCAAACTCTTTGGTAGGTGGTATATACATGTACAACAGTCATGTAGCACGCTGTGGTCGGCAGAACATACTGCGCGTAAGTGAAATCTGGATTTTTTTTTACAGTTTTCATTGAAAGTTTGGTCAACATTGCATCTGATGCCGTTGCATGATCTTTTCTGACACAATATTAGAAAACTACATTCAGGATGTCACCTTAAATACAAGAATACGAACTTCAGCAAGATGTTCTGCCAAAGTGCTATGCACTGGTTTCATGCAGGCACAGTACGTTTTGCTGATAGTGGTTTGTGTGTACTTCAGGTATGCACAAACATGTGGACAAGAAAGACTGCTTTTGGATGTACCCTGAAGTGAAATTGCTGAAGTGAAATTTGTTGATTTTCGGCTTTTAGGATTTCGTTTACTATTTGGTGGCAATGATGCAGTTTGTATGAGCTTTATGATTTTCTCCTTACGATTGATTGTACACATAACTAACTTACATATTACAATGTACATAACTCCAATAATTATTGTATAGGAGAGGCATCAGATCTGGTGAATTTCCTGAATGAGGACAGCCAAACCCACATTGCCTCCTACAAGTCCCTCCTGGGCACAACAGTCCAGGAGCTCACAAAAGGCAGCATCATCATCAGCCACCTCCAGCTCCTCCTGCAGCACAGGAAACAGTTCCTAGAACTCTGCAATGCCGTGGCTGCCAGCAGTACAAAGGACGAAGAGGAAAATAAAGCCGAGAAGGCCAAAGGAAGTGGAAAGCATGATGCAAACATGGTAGTGAAAGTTGGGGATACTGCCTGGCCTGTCAAGCAGCTAGAGAAAGTCCTGGACTGGAGAGGAAAGGAAATGGAAGCAATCAAGACGGAAACAAGGCAGATTGAGTGTTTCCTCAGCATGTGTGAAGACATCAAACCAGGTGAGAAATGCTGTCATTCTTTTGCCAGAATGACTGAATTATAGTGAAGTGTAAAGTTTGTTATTAAATTAAGGTCTTTTTCACAGAAGAAAACCATATTTTTTTGCTTCATTTCTTGTTCAAACAAAGAAGGCCAATGACCAATGACCAGTCAACTGTCACCATGGTAACTGGTACTGTAGCAGACACCCTGTAGTGTTGGATTACATTATGTAGCAAATGGCAGGGCTGAGTTGGTGAAGCCAATGAGCTATAGTCTCCATATATATGAAAATGTGTTTGAGTAAGAATAGAAAGAATAGTAGTCAGGCAAGACTATGTTAAAGTTAACATTATCCATTTGCTTTGGAAATGTTACCGTTCTACTTATTATAATTATAAAATGATAATGATGCTGCATGAATATTGACTGAAACATGAAAAAGCTGCTTTATCAGAAGTTGTCACATCTTCTCTCATAGTTGCCTGTGAAGAGCTAGAGCAAAAGGTCCGAAGAGACAAATCAACCATGTCCCTGAATGAGCTGTGTCAACCGGTGTCCGGCAACGACATTGCCAAAGTTTCCTTTGACATGAATCAACCACCCAACGTCACCTACTTTGGCATCACTCCCGAGTTCAGGGAGATGTCGACCCTCCTGGAAAACCTCAGCAAAAGTATCGTCTTCAACAAGATCTGGGAGAAGATGAGACCAACGCAGGCTGGCGAAGAAGAGGAGGCCCTTCCCGCACTTACCGTGGACGGCGTTCTCGGCCAAGTGTGGACGCCCGCCTACCAGAAGTGGCTGGAACTACGCCAGAACGTCAAAGACGGGAAGATCACGCTTCAGGACGTGGACGAGACGTTTGGGCAGTTCAAGAATGAGTACAGGAAGCTTGAGAACGAGCTGAAGATGCTGGCAAAGAATCCGAGAGAGGGATGGGTCAAGGAGCGTGTGCTACAGATACAGCAGTACCACCAGCTGAACAAACACCTGGACGCAGCAGATGTCGTGAAAGACGTCAAGGAGAAGTACAACCTGAAGGGAGACTTCAAAGGAGTAGAGATCCTTCTGCATTCAGTATGTAAACCATCCATTTGCTCTGCATAATTTTGTTGTATGTGATGTATTCTTTGAGAAATATACAGATTGTATAGATAGCTGCTGTTGATGTCTTCTTTTTTTAATGACAGTATTTAGAAACAGGGTTGGAAATACCTTCCCGTCCTGCATAATTATGCATGTTTGTGCAGGTAAGATTTGTTGTGCAATTATTTGTAATGTATACCTGCACCAGCACTAGTCTATGTACTGGGTTTATATATACAAATTTTCATCTTTCATTCACTGCATTGACTGTCACCACCTGAAACAATAATTTCAGAACAGTTTTTAGTGTGATCCATAACTCTTATATGCTGTGCACTACATTCTGATATGTACCTGTGATGGTTTCTCTTGTGTAGAAAGCCAAGAATTTCAAGCAGAATCCACTGAGCTCCATTAACAAGAAAGTGGTGAATGCAGGGAAACTGCTGACAGAGATGACAGAGGAGAGGATAGAGAGCCTCAGGAAGTTTGTCAAGTGTCAGCGACTGGTGGACTGGTTGAAAACAAAGATCCATGGTGTGTTAGCTAATACTTAGTATGACTAAACGACTTCCTTGCAATATCAAATGTACGTTGTCATACTTAGTGCACGTCTATAATGTATCTGATGGCATTTCAGCACCAAGGAGGTCAACGTTTTAACCACACACACACACACACACACATACACACACACACACACACACACACACACACACACACACACACACTCCTTACAGCAATATTACTATTGAACCTTGTATAAAATTGAGACAAGTTATTTAATTAGGAAATGTTACATGATCCATTCTTCAAAATACCACCTGCATATGCAGATTGGTGCAGGTTTTTGTGAATCTGATATCTACTTGTACCTAACTTGTACTGGGCCATGACAAAACCAATCCAAGAAACTAAAGGTGCATGTTATGTTTTCCTTTGTTTGATGCACTAATAGTAATTTGTAACAGCATCACTCTGTCTAGCTTAACAATTATGTCGTAATTTAGGCCACACCAATTTGATCACAATTGGTTTCCAGATTTGCCTACTTCATTTTTTTCTGATTTGCAAGAAAGGCCTTGTCTTTCTACTTGTTACAATTTGTCCATCTGTGAATACAGTGATTTGACTTTGAAAGATTAAAATTCACTGTTTGAATTACAAACCACCATAGTTCTTATCGAAGCATATTGTAGGCCTAATTTTTTCCCTGTCGCTCCATATTTTTTTTAAAGTCATACAACCAACATATTAAATTGAGGTTTAGACATGCATGTTCATGTAGGCACTGACCAACTTTTGTAATAAAACTTTACAAATTTATAATCCTGCAGATACGAAGGAACTGAAGGTGTTTGTGGACCTGGCCAGTATCTCAGCTGGAGAGAGTGACATTGAAGTGGACAAGGTGAACTGCCTCCTGTCTGCCGGGGTGGGATATGCACCTCTCATCTACGACCTGGATGAAGACTCCGACTTCGACACGCTGATGAAATGCTGCCGGCAGTTCTGGGCCGCCCTGGAGAAGGACAAGCACCTGCCCAAGAAACTGGTCAGAATTTTTGTTGGTTTGTTTATTTGCACAATGAAATATATTGTAAATAAAAGAAAAACAATGTGCAGGAGGGGATAGGAAGACTACAGGGCTTGTACAAGGTCCTTCTCCTTCCTAACTTACTTAACAAAATTTTGATCATGAAATTAAATTTATTCTGATTGAAAAGTAATTAACGGAAAACAAAGATATATCGAAGAAGACTAATAGATATAAATGAATATTATGAATTTCAAACTAACTCGCCCCCCCCCCCCCCCCGCATTCAGGATTTGCTTTGCATTAATTAATGTTGCTTGTTGTACAATCTAATATTTTTACTTACTTCTTCAAAGCATATCGACAGAATGTTCTGTGTCTGGGTGAAAGCCAGGTTTGCAGGGATCTTTAAATGCATGTTAGGGAATACAACCTTATAGGAGATGTTCTGTATGTTCTGCCAATGTGCTCTTCTTCAAAATCTTAAACTGAAGTATGCACACCTTTAATGTAGAGGCAACATATAGTTTTCAGGCAGTTGTGAACACACACACAATTACAACATGTACATGAACATGTCTACTAGATATGCCCCCTACTTTGTCTGAATATAGATTTGCCTTATCCTGCTACATGTACAAAAAATGTACATGCACATGAGCAGTCAAAACTTGAATGAGAAAGAAGACAAAATTTCATAGCAACATCATTCTGATGTTTCTGATATGCTGCAGTATTGCCATCACACATGTATACATGTTAGTCAATATTGTTTATTCTTGATATTTAATATAATATTCCAGATGGACACCTGTCGTAACCTGGAGTGGCTGAAGGGAGTGAGTGACTCCCATGGTTCTGTGGAAATGTCCTCCCTGTCTCAGACAGAAGCCATCAATGCCAGGGGTGTCTACGAGATTGGATGCTTTGGGCAAAATCAGTCTCTGGTACGCTGATATGCTACTTAGTATCTCTAGGAGGTAGTAAAATGCTTTGTAGTGTAATTCCTAGCACTTATAGCAGTAATTCCTTTGCACATATAGCAGTTTAGAAAATGCTATGTGTTAGTGTAACATGGAAGGATACCATTCACTTCTTCAAGCTGATCTATCCGAATGTGAAAATGAAAAGGTGACAATTATTGTATGTTCGTAGTCATTGATATGTGTAAGCTTGTGAAATGTTTAGGCCACACGGATTGAATCAATCGGTTCTCAAATTTGGCCGCTTAATCATTTCTGATTTAAAAAAAATTATTATTTTTCTGAATCAATACCATTATGCTCACATTTTGGCTGCAGTCAGAGAAAGTCCTTATCTTCCTACTTGTTGCAGTTTTCCATCTATCAATAATTCAGTGGATTGATTGAAAGTTTAGAATTCATTGCATTGAAAACCAGCCTGATATGTTGATTTTATGGTTTCTATAATTGTAACATTTAATGGCTATCATAAGATGCCTGGGCCTGCTTTTTTCTTTTTTTCGCTCTGTCCTGAGAACTGACAATTAAAAATTGAATTGGCGTGGCTTTTTGGTAATTCCAATATCCTAAATGAATCTTTCTTCAGAATGACCTGGAGTCAGTGGTCCGATTGCGAGTAGAAGGAGCGGAGTCAGAGGAGTTTGATGATGAGGACATGGCAGTGAAGGAACTGAAGGAGTACAACCTGTCCATGCTGAAGAGTCTGCAGAGTAAACTCATGCTGCTGGCTGGGAAAGCTGACAAGGGCAGCCAGGAAGTGGACAGATTTGTGGAGGTCAGATGTTTTCTGATACATATTTGTTAAGACCAAATGTTTATTTTGATTCTATTGCACTCTATATACATGTACATTAGGTATATACATGTAAAGTCCTATAAAGTTATCACTAATTGATGGTAAAAAAGGGAGAAGCAGAAACTAACAAGGAAAAGGGCTCTGCAAGTTGCACTCCTACACATGTATATGTATGTATGTACGAATTAACATGGTTTGCAAACAAAATATCTTACACAAGTTACTCTTTGGTGTATAGATATATATACCTAGTGATTGCACTTGGGTATAGGCAGTGTTCTCAATGTTATTTTAAAATGAATGTAGACATGTACATCCAAGTGCCTGTGGTGTCCAAAGTAACTTTTTTTAAAATTAATGTACTTCTAATTTATTAGTTCTATGCAAAGTACATCCTCTGCAATAATATGGTGCTTTTGACTTTGTTAGCTTGCTGAATCTAGGCAACATCCTTATTGACTTAGCATGGTGATTTAGATATGTGAATCATCACGCAATCAAAGTTAACCAATCAATCAATCAATCAATCAATCAATCAATCAATCAATCACTTCTTGTGGGTGCAGTTCTTGCATTGCCTCTAGACCCTACTAAGTTCCTATATCAACATGATGTATTCCCACCTATTATTAGGTAAAATTGTTTAATGCTTAACATATCATATTGTTATATTTATTGCTTATTTCTACATATTGCTGTAATTGATTATGTATTTGACTGTGTAATGTTGTTGTTGTTCATGTGTGTTTACACATTCATTGTTTTTTGTAAGGGAGGGCAACTTGTAAAGGTGCGTAAGCACCTGTTTTGCCCTCCCTTTCACTTTGTGAAAAATTCAAATAAACAAATAAACAAATCAATCAATCAATCAATCAATCAATCAATCAATCAATCAATCAATCAATCACTTGATTTATTTCAGATTCTGACTGGTGTGACGAGACTTGGCCAGGCCTACGTTCACCTGTACAATGCCGGGGCAGTCCTGTTCAACAACTGGAATGCAGTCGTGTACTGCGACGGCAACCGAAGGGTCAAGGTCATGGTCAACTTCGGCTTCGGCACGGAGGCCCTCTACGGAACAAGGGCAGCCGTTGAACATCAGCTGACCCAACTGGCTAAGTACATGGAGGTCTGTCTGGATGAGTGGCTCGGTGCAATGGACAAAGCCAGGCTGGAGTACGACGAACTGAATCACTTCACCACCGAGCAGATTGTGGTTCTCCGGAAAGCTCTGGCGAAGATGATCGACCCCAGCGAAACGGTGACCCCACAGGTCTGTACCTGTATTGGTATAGCCGGTATAACTGCCTTTGGCGTAACACACTAGCTTTGCAGGTGTGGGGTGCAGCAGTAGCTAGCTATGTCACACCGACGACTTGTTACATTCAATCTTTGCGCATTTAATTGTAGGAGTTGTTTAAAGCTTTCTAATATTCTAGTGATGATGGCCCAACTGTGCTTGGTGGCAACGACTTCCACTCTACAATAGTTCTTGGAAAATACGAGTTTTTGAACACCTCAATTCTTGGTTGATAATTGAAGGCATGACAGTCACTGTTTCTTGTTCTTTGTTTTCAAGGTCCTGGCCTTGCTGTCCAGCATCAAGCCACTGTGTGCCGAAGATGACATCAGGAAGGCCATGTCACATGTTGCAGGGGACATTGACGCAATGGAGGAAGACAAAGAAGAGCCAATGGCTGAAGAGACGGACAAGAAGACTTGGTCCATGGATGATGAAGAAAGGGAGGAGTTCGTGCAGAAGCTGAAGCAGATGGTGCCTGATTTGACGGATCGTGTTGCCACGGCAGCCATGAAGGCCACAAAAGGTAACGTTGAGGAGGCTGTCGGATGGTGCATCAGCAACATGGACGATGATGACATGATCGAAGAGATCCTCAACAGCGATGAGAGAGACGAGGAAGAAATGCCTGCTGCAGTAGAAGATGTGGTCCCAGAGATGGTAGAAGACAGCAGTATCATCATGTTATCTTCCATACAGGAACCCGTGTCCCTCGCTGGCTTCACCAGCATGTCACTGTCCAGAGAGGAACCCAGGAAGGAGTGAGTTGTAGACTACGTGTTGTTTGTTTGTTTGTTCATTTATTTATCCAGGAAACACATGTACATGTACATATAGCCTGATGGCGTTGTTCAATGGTTCCTTGGGGGAAAACCCCAAGCAAAATCTATTAACAAATTGAACTCAAGATTAACATAGGTATTAAATAAAGTTAAGCAGATTACAAATTGATACAAAATCAAAGTAACTTAAATAACATACATGATACTTAAGATCATACTACCAAGATAAGAGAAACAATATTGTAACCTTAACATCATATAATGTACATGTAGAACCAAGGTAGAACATAATACAATGAAATCAGGATTGAACATATTGTAGCACGTTGGCAGAATGTACTGCGCCTGCACAAAATCTGGAATGCAATAATGTGCAATAGCCCTTGTATAGAGTTCATCGTATAAGATCATGTTCATGTCTGTAATTTTCAAATGACAGAAAAGATATTGTCTGCAATGGGCAAAATCCTGACGCAGCATCTACCAAACATCCAATGGAAACCATGGTTTCCCGCAGGTGCAGTACATTCTGCTGACGTGCTGTGTAGTGTATGCATTGAAAACTTGAAAATGTTAACTCTACCCTGCTTTATGACAATACCTGGTGTGGTAATGATGTACTTGTTCCTCTATACATTCATGGCAAGTATCTTTGTTTTTGTGTACCATTGCGGTGATGAATACATGTTTCCTTGTAGCTTTGTTGTCTGTTTCGGCAAATGAAAGGTCAACATCAGCTTGGGTGTGACCAAAGTTGACACTGTATTTCCAGGACAATGATCAAAAGAATGGAGTCAGTTTGGGGAGAGTACCTGACCACTGTCAAGTCCACCACGTTTGAGGAGTACATCAGCATTGACCACCTGGCCTTGGTGCTGAGGAATCTCTCCAGCACTGGTTTGTATACAGTACATCATCGTCTATCGGACTGTATCAGCCAGTACATATTTCACTTGTTATAGCCCTGTCAGGCATTACTTTTTCTAAATAATCATATTCTATTCCAGGCTCTTTAAGTAAAGGGTAATTTAAAGTTAAACTTCTGCAATGTATCTGGCAACTTGGTTTCATGGGAGGATGTGTATTACACATTGTCAATTTCATACTTTCCCTATCATACCTTGTTATGCAAAACTTGCTTGATGTGGTTAAATTGTCTTGTTTCATACAAGTGTATGTGCATGTAAGATCTGTATTTAAATTTACAAGCTTTGAAGTACATAATATGTTGTGCATACATGTACAATGTATATCTATTGGTAATTGACATTTATACTTTATTTTCTAGCAAATATCGCTGTAGGTCGACAGTGGCCAAGCCGTTTCTTGGAGGCAGGCAAGCCCAACCTTGTAGTTTGTCCTCAAGGTACTGGAACTACACTGTATTAGCTATGGCAGATGCATATACTGCCTTTCCCTTCTTGAAAGAGCTTCAGATTTCAGATAACTTTGAATGACTGTGAAATATAGGTACTGCATCCCCGTGGCACAGTAGATAAACGCACAATCAAGCTGGCATTTGGGTTGAATTCCATGGACGAGGGTCAATCCCAGGCTTGGCTCAGCTTGGACTTGTTGTGAGGGATTGAAGTCATTCCAGATGGTGACGTAAAGTCAGCTGCTTGGTGGCTGACTCTACGTGCCAAACCTCTGCACGTAAAAGAACCAAACACATTTATTGAGAAGAGTAGGGGTGACCTGACGTGGTTGGCTATGAACGCCAGCTTATATGAATTGTGTAAGTAACACTCCTCACCTCACCTCACCGGTCCCATAGCAGTCTGTCCTGCCGTCGGGGCAACTAAACTGTCTACAAGAGTTATCCACCCAGGGCGGTTCTCAGCCAGACTTGTCAGGTGACTCAGGGGATGTCCTGTCCAATCCTTAAGGTCACTAGTCCAGGTCCTTCGAGGGCGCCCCCTCATTCGTCCACCCTCCGCCTTCCCTTGCAGTGTAGTGTGAGCTAAGGTGCCCTTCGCTCTAGTTACGTGCCCAAACCACTGCAGCTTCCTCTTCTTTACCAGTGACAGTAACACTGGTCACTTTAATTTTGAGGTTGCCTGCTTTACATGTCTATCTTACATGATTGTACCTTTTTCCTTGTCCATTTCCAGACGACATCTGGCAGACAGTGTTGTCCCTGTACATGCAGGGCCAGACTACACAACCTCTCCCCTCCTACAGGGAGGTGCTCATCTGCACTCCACACACTTCACTGGAAGAGGTCAGGTCCCTAATCTTCTACAATGTATTCTGACATTAATTTTAATACACAGTTCAAGTGTTCAAGTTCAAGTTACCGGCATGTGTCACAGAAATGCCATGTCACTTTTCCTTTATATACATTTCATAAATTGTTTTTGAACGATTTTTGCTGAAGCTGTTGAATACCATGTAGGAATCATTCATCATTGAAATGACTAAAGCTTCTTCTTTGAATGACCAGTGTTATTACAATCTTATCAAAGTAGCAAACAAGATCTTTTATTTGTTTCAAAGCAAACTCAATCGTGTTCTAAGTTCTATTGTTCACTCACTCACTCACTATCCAGGATTTGATTATACTGCTGCTGTTGTCCCTGCCACAGGGGTCGGCAGCAGTTGGCTAGTAGTACTGGTCTTCACACTGCACCTCCAGGCAGCCCTATTCAGTGGGTTTACACCGGCAAGGCCACGCTCTCTAATGTCTTTTGTCTCTCTAATGTCTATTGTTGGACTCGAAAAAGATCAGCTTCGTTAGACACATTGACTATGCCTTTAATAGGTGGTCCTGCTGTGGAGGAGAGCTGTAGGAGACCAGACTGGAGGGATCTTCTGTCTGGTTGCTGCTGACCAGCTGGACTATGACGTCAGTGTCAGGGCAGAGGAGATGAGGTGCAAACTCTTCCAAGGAAAATCAGGTGATGGCCATATGAGTAATACATGTATAGCTGCATCATAGTGTAGCTGGTGTGGTGTCAAATGGCCGAGTGGCTTAGCCTGGGTGCCATCCCCTGTAGTATTCGTCTAGACCCAGTGGTAAGCTAGCGACATTAGGGAGCGGGCGAATACTACGGGGGATGGCAACCAGGCTACGAGTGGCTAGGCAAGGGGACACGAAATCAAGAGGTCATGGTTTTGATACCTTGACAGAAGTTTATGACCTTGGGAAAGGCATTTCATACAACTTTTCTCACCCCATCCAGTGGTAAAATAGGTACCTGACTTAAGATGGGAGGTAAAAGATGATGGAAGAAGAGGGTTGGCCTCCGCCGTCCAATATCTTGCCCTAGACACTGTGACAATCATGGATTAATACTGTCCCTACGGTCTTAAAGAGACTACCTTTACCATGAGTGTTTTCATTAGCTTATAGCAAGAAATTGTACCCAAAGTCAGCCATCAAATTCTGATAAAAGTGGTCCTCCAGTGTTTCAAGAATTGATTGCCACAAAGTTTGCACTGTATTCAAGCTTCAACAGTTACAATATGTTGACGAAATAAACTGGATTCTAGCATAACAATTTAATTGTTCAGAAATTTTATTACCCATTTTTAGAGTGGAATGTTTCGTAGAATTAATGTGAACTACACCGTACATTGTACATGTGCAATAAGTAGTAATAGCATCAGATAAAATATGCTAACAGTCATATATTTCTTGCTCCGTCTGCTAGGTTACCATGTAGTTGTAGTGTGCGCATCGGAGAGACAGCACCAGTCATACATGGTGACAGCTCTGGACCAGTACAAGGTGTCCATCCCACATGTGCCCTCCCAGGAGCACGTCCAGGAGTATCTGCTGTCACAGTTCCAGCAGCAGGATGCAGGCTCAACTGTGCTGGCATCTGCTGTAGATCACCAACGGTAGGGGAAACACATTTTCTTCAGCTGATATGTTGCTATGAGAAAAGCAACATATCAACAAAGAACAACAAACTATTGTACTACTTGTACTCTTTGTTCATATTATTTATTATCTCTATGTTTAATTATTTGATTGTCTATGTCCTTTTTAACTTGTTCTGTTGGGCTACCTTGGAAACCAGGTGTCCTAAACTGAAGGTGCCATCCAACTGTTTTTAAGATCAATAAATAAATAAATTGGCTGGTAACCTGCACTACTGAATAAAAATTATATTGTCTGAGGCAAAATTGAATATTGATGCAAAGTTGAATTTTGCTAATAAGTCAAACCATTGCATCACTTAGCTACTGTATTACTGGTCACTATGCAATGTAAACAAACACTCCAATGTTTATGATGGTTTTGTTTTCACTTTGACCATAATTTTTAGATATTAAAAAAGTGTTTAGTAAAAAATGTTCCAGCCATGAACACATGTACACTACAAGTCCCAGCAAAAGAAATGAATTTTCAGGATATTATATGTGCTGCTTATTACAAGCAGCATGTTTCATAAGGTTTGCCTAGTACATGTATGTTTTCCATTCCACATCTTGCACATTCAAATTTTTCACAGAACTGATGACAACTTAATGTTTCAGGTCATCAGTACGAGTTGTATCCTCCCAGCGTGCCGGGGTTGGCAAGTCCCTCGTCGTCCAGCGTCTCTCGGAAGAACTCACGAAGAAGCTTCCCAGGAGGCTGCGGGGGAAACTGTCCTACATCAAAGTTCCCCTGCACGAGGCTACTGTGAACAACGATGCGGTTCTGGAGGCACTACTCCCTCACTCTGTCAACCCTGCCAGCCCCTCTCCTCGAATCATCCATCTGGACATCTCTCCCTTGGTAGGGACATGATTATCTTGAAAGTTCATCTATCTGTGTTGGTAGAAGTCCTTATGAAGTAAGTTTGAACTGTAAATTTCCAACACAAGAAATTTGACTTTTGACTGTTCAACTCCAGTCTACATGTATGTCAAGGAGTGAGCAATCCACTGCTTCTGTGACATCCATTTGGTAGGAACATGATAGAACTTACATGTACATGTATGTTGAAAGTTCATCTGTGTTGGTAGAAGTCATTATGAAACAAGTTCAAACTGTAATTTCCAACACAAGAAATTTTCAACTGTACAACCCTAGTCTTTGTCAAGGAATGAGCACTCCACCACTTCTGTGACGTCACTTTCAAATTGGTAGGAACATGGTAGGAACTTGTTTTGAAAGATCACCTGACAGGTGTTAACTTGGTAGAAGTCAGACACTATGAATCAAGTTTTAACTTCCATCAAAAGAAATTTTGGGCTGTACAACTCAAGTCTTTGTTAAGGAATAAATAATCCACCTCTTCTGTGACATCACTTCATGCTGACAACATGTGTCTTTGTGAGCAGTAAACTTTCTGCAACCTACGATCCACTGCTCACCCATACACTGGAAAGGCCCTGTACTGTCATTAGCATTTTCTTGCTTATTGGTAAGTTATTTGAAAGAAATAAACACTTCAATGTCATTTAAGAAAAATAGACTGACAAATACAATGAAATGTTGCCGGTTATTTTTTAAAAACACCATGCTTGTTGTGTTTGCAGGTTCATAATGGAGTGGACTGCCTGCTGTTTAACCTGTTGGTGTTGGGTAGCCTGGTGGGGAGGGACGGGTCTGTGTGGAGACGTCTACCCTGGGACCTGTATGTGGTGGAACACACCTACAAACCACAGGCAGCTGACACACAGGTGAAATATCTTACACCAATACTTAATTGTACATGTACATGTTTTTAAACAGTTATGGCTAATGACAGTGTTCTTGCATGTACAGAAGGTTACCTTAATTAAATACATGTATGAGCAAAAATATCCATGATTGTAGTTGTCACTTCTTGTTTGTTGGACATCTAAATTGTGATTTTGATAACAGTGTTTTTGCCCTGTCTGTTGCCATTCTTTGCACAAGTTGATACATGTAGTACTACATGTGAACGTTCCTCTACAATCCAGTGTATGTAATTTGTAATTAGCATTTTACTATCATGTGCATGTTGGTAACGCTAGACAACAGGCTTGCTGTTCTCAACCAAGGCAGCTTCAGTCACATTTCATGTTGGAAATTTTGAATGTAGAATGCAAGTACTGTAAGTTACAGTTATGTTGTGTTGTGTTGCCAACACCAACACTAACCCATTGCTTTCTGTTATTCTACAGAAGAACAGAGAAGAGCACAAGTCGTTTGTGTCCATGCTTCCGAGTGTGACTTGCATTTCTCCCAGACAGACCTACAACTTGCTGACAAAAAATCAACAAGCCATTCCAGGTATGATGTCTTGACTTACTCCAATATCAGGTCAAACTTATCATGGAGCTTTGTATTATACATGTTGAAAGATGTTCGATTGATCCGTTGGTGTAAAAGATTTACAGAACTCTGTACTAGAGCTGCAGTTTCATTTTGTAATTTTTTCAGCAATGGTCACCTGCTGTAACATCAGTTTGCCTTTATTGGTCAACTTGTGTACCCAACTTAGTTCTTTTTGAACACGGGCATTGAGGGAGATGTGATAATTCAACATCAGCAATACCCCCATAAAATAGTACTGTTAAGAGCGTTTCTATAGCCATGCATTAGAAGAGGACAAGGTAAAAAATTTCTTGTCACTCCAATCATGGGTGGAGTGTTCTGAAATATTGCTGAAATGTTGGGGGAATAAACAGTAACTGTAAATCACGGGAATTTTATATTCCCTGTTTTCGTTAGTCACTTCTGTACTGCAAAATTATCATTACCGTGAACAAATGGTTTGCCGACTTTGTTTTTGCTGCACCTGCGCCATGTCAAATGTATAATTGTTTCATGGGCATGTCCATTTTTCTCAGATTGTGAACTAAGTGCTGTGTACCAGTTCGCTGGTTCCAGACTTG